TGGGCCTCTCACCCCACGTGGGCCTCTGAGGACTCTGGTTTCGTGGCTCACCGTAAGAATCAGTTCGAGGATGCTCTGCATCGCATTGAAGAAGATCGACACGACTACGATCATCATATCGAGGCTTGCACGCGCACAATCCAGCTCATCGAGCCAATTGTGCAGCAGTTCCTTGTTATGAGCGATGCGGAGCGTGCTGCCTTCAAACTGCCCCCTGGTTTGGGCGGTCAGAGTGAAGCCATCTATCAGCGTGTGATCAAGAAGATCTATGACCGCCAGCGTGGTGAGAAGATCATCAAAGAGATGTTCGAGCGGCCGTGCCATGTTCTACCCATCATCCTGTTCCGCCTGAAACAGAAATGTGAAGAGTGGAAAGCCAGCCAGCGCGAATGGGACAAAATCTGGCGCGAGCAGATGCAGAAGGCCTACTGGCGGAGCTTGGATCACCAAGCGATCGCCAGCAAGGGTACCGACAAGAAGCTCTTTGTGGCGAAACACATCCAGACCGAAATCCAGAACAAATTTGAAGAGGGTCGAAACTTGCGCAAGGGCGGGTACCAGGTCCCTCGACATCAGTTTGAGTACACGTTTGCGGATCCGGCTGTCTTGATCGACGCGACACACTTGCTGCTCACCTTCATCGACCGGAACTCGGCTGGGTTCGGAGCCGATCCTCAAAAGGTGATGACCTTCATCAAAGACTTCATTCCAGTATTCTTCGGTATGGATCGGGATACTTTCCATGTCTACATGAATGAACTGTCGAGCGGTACGCCGCCGATCGACGAGGGCGATGATGAGAGTCTGGCTGCGGACGATGCTTCCACTCCCCGCAGTCGTAAGGGTGGTGCCGGAAAGAAGATGGGTCTTCTCCGCGATGTCTTAGAACGTGCCGGTGAAAAGGTCCATCGGGCCGAGAAGGAAGGGAGTGCCCCAAACAGTCGCGATGGCACGCCTGATGCTGTTCTGGTTCCCTCGACCCCGATTCCCGACCCCGCCGAGTCCTTCGATGTGGCCGAGTTGAAATGGATGGAGCATCCGGGACAGGGTAACTTCAACCAGCAACGGGAGTACAACCTCAACGAGACCTACGAAAAGAAGGTGCATCACTTGTACGCCAACCTGAACATCTACTGTTTCTTCCGCACGTTCGAGATCTTGTATTCGCGCCTGCTCCGCATCAAGTTGCACGAGAAGGATGCCCATGACGATGTGCGGCGTGCGCTGGTCGGAAAGCCGGCGCAGGAGCTCAACCTTATTGACAAGTTCCCCACCGACTTCTTCTACGACTGCGACCCGAAGGCCAACCTCTACCAACAGATCGTTCGGATGTGCGAGGAGGTGATCAAGGGTGACATGGAAACCACGCATCTGGAGGAGACGCTCCGCCGGTACTACTTGCGGAGTGGGTACCAGTTGTACAACCTGGAGAAGATGTTCACGGGTATCTCGAAATTCGCGGGAGCCATCTTCAGTGGTGATTCGAAGGACCGCAGCTCTGATATCATGAACCTCTTCTTCAAGGAGCGTGATCGGGAGGAGACCACTCACAACCAAGAGATCCAGTACCGCAAACAAGTCGAGCGGCTGGTGAAGGATGGAGACATGTACCGCATTACATACGTAAGTGTTTTCTTTTTCTTCTTCTTTTTTTCTTTCTCTATTCGAAGGTATTCGTGCTAATCATCCTTGCAGCACCCTGGCAGCAAGAAGGCTGCTGTGCAGCTGTTGACTCCCGAGGACGCCACACTGGAGAATGAGGAGCTTAGCCCTGAAGCGCGCTGGTCGTACTACGTGTCGGCGTATACCATGCGGGATCCGACGGAAGGCGTAGCGTTCTCGCAGATGCGCATGCCGTTCCTGAAGCGGAACCTGCCGGCCAAGCTGGAGCAAGAGGAGGAGTACAACCGGTACTACCGGCCGTTAGTGCACCAGGACGGGCTGATCATCCGTATCTGCGCCAACAGCTACCACATTCTGTACGAGCCCGGCAGTTCCGACTGGTGGTGGCGACCCACCACCTCGACGGACGAATCCGCCGAAGAGGTAGCCAAGGAAGACGCGGCCGTCAAGGAACGACGGCGGGATCGGTTCATGGAGAAGCTGGTGAACAACCCTAGCTGGGCGCACGGGCTGAGCAAGGATCAGGTGGACGAGTCCAACCAGCGGTTCCGTTCGTGGATCAATGGACCGGAAGGCGACCAGAGTGGTGCAGCTGCAGCGTCCGCGGGGCCAGCGTCCGACGCTAAGGACGACCAGGCAGATGCAGAGATGACGGACGTCGCGCCGCCTGCATCCGAGCCCAAGGAGTAGTGAGGCTGCACCGGGGAGGGGCGGGGGCGGGGGCGGGGAAGGACTTCCGTTCGGTGGGTGTACTACGGGTGGGAGGGGATTATGATGATGATTGATAAACCAACTAGCGGGGGAAGAGCTTATGTTGACTTTTTCTGTTGACGCGAGATATTCGTTTCTTCTCCCATCCCCGGGGCGGCGTAACTATGTGGCATGTAAACTTTATTTTTTCTTTTCTCACATTCTTCTTCGGACCGGATTGAATCCCGCCAGGTTCCAGGTTCCTTGTCATTATTGATGTCTGTACTTTTTTTTTCTTATTTGCTGTCGGTCTTTCGCTTTCAGGTCCATGATGAGCGGATACGGTTTTACTATCTATGGTTGCACGAATGGGAATCTTTCTTTGATCAGTCCTCTATCTGCTGGGATTTCAGGTGTATACGAGTAGAGGGGTAGAGAGTTGGTTGTATTGACCCGGCATGAAACCTGTCTCAGTGTTGAGTTACTAGGGCTGCCGGGCCGGAACCTTAGGACTAGCTGGCCACTGCACAGGCTAGTTTTCTCTACAGCTGTGAGGGAGAGGGAGTCGGATTAGTGTTTTGAACCTGTAACAAGGGTAAGAAATCCTTCGGGTTGATTTGTGTTCAACCTTTTTTTCTGTTCTCATTCGAAGATCTTTTACATTCAGCCTTCTATAAGAGTGTACAATACAACTCATCTTGGTAACTCCTAGATCTATCTGGCATTTCGCAAAGTGTTGATACATGCTTACAACCCTTGTACTCTCATGTGGCTCAGTGGATTTGTGTGAGGGTGGTGTAGGGCCGGGCTTCTCTGGTTATAAAATTGGGTTATTTTTGAATTTTGATGATGAAGCCGAGTTCCAGTCTGTAAGCGATTCAACCAAAGCGCGGGAATGGGTAACATGGAAAAATATCTTAATCTCTTGGCAATCGGTGAGCCAGACTCACCAAGGTATCCACACGTCAAGCAGCCTGGTGACCCCTTCCTGTCGTCGTCTATAACCGGATGAATAGGGACAACAACTTTTCCCTTCGATAGAGCCACGGCGATCTCCTAAAGCAGATATAAACAAACTGAAATGTATAGTCATATCAAGGCCGCGGAAACTCATCTGGCTTGTGAAATAAGCAAAAGCCCTCTGTATCTCAAACACAGGCTTTGATGATCGCCTCGTGGCTCTATAAGATACGCTTTTTGTAGCAGCTCTTCTTATCCTCGTAGTAGGAGTTTCTCACGTGTGAGAAAACCCTTCCTCTTACCAAAGGTTTACCTCGGCTTGAACGGCGGCGCTCGCTCCGCAGCCTTGCAGGAATCTAATTCTTATAAAACTTTATATGGCAGATTCTTTTTGGATACTTTGTAACGATAAGCCTCGACAGGCATCTCGATAAACGGATTCAGTGTCAAGGACGGAAGATGTAAAGAATATATGGATTTGGCCTCTTTAAGACTTACCTTAATAAAGAAATAGATCGATATCAATAGAAAGCTATATCATGTTTACATCTTACCAACAAAGGAATGTATAGGTCTTCTAGGAGAGATACATTGTCTTGGTAATATCAGATATCTCAGTACCTTAGTAGTTATAGAAAGTATTAAATTTAACCTCTTAGAAAGAATACTTGTATAAAAGGGCGTATCCCAGGGCCTAAGAGGCTCCCGGCTTATAATTTCTCTGTAATCTGAGGTCTTAGGGGTGGTCTATATATAATAAAATTTTTGACTTCTGGATGGTTGGCTGATGGTTGAACTATATCAGCGTTGTGCGTCTAACGCCTCGGTCCAGCGAGGTCACATGATTTCAAATAGAACTGGGAATATGTCAACGGCATGAATTTGTGGAGAATTCCTTCCTTCCTTCCCTCCTTCATAATTCAACAAATCCCAAGGCATCAAGCTTCCCTCTTTGAGCAAGTGATTCCATCAGTATTACGTTCGTAATCGACAAACTATCTCAGGTATTGATATGTAAAGCAGCCTGGTAACCGCGCTGGATCACATGGCCGGATGGCTGAGGAATGCCGATATAATCAAACTAGTAACAAGACTTTAGAGAGTCCCTGTAGTTCTAAAAGGCTCTTGCCAATAGCAGCAGTCTCTGCTTTTTTTTTTGGCAGCGATTGATCTCATGCAAAGGCTACTTCTGTCAGATAGCAGCACATCAGTTCTTACACAAATTCGTTATAGCAAGTTGCTTTTTTATACCTTGTAACAATAAATCTCGGTGGGCAGCATCTTACTCAGCAGATAACAAATCTGGTATAAAGGACACATGGATTCGGTCTCTTACAAGTCTGCTTTGATAACCTTTCAATAAGAAGACGTATAGTTTTAACCACTTAATACATGGACCTTTTAGAAGACATAGGAGCTTAGTGATCTCAAGTAACTAAATAACTATCGGTAGTTGTACAAAGCAATGAGCTTAATGGTTAGAAATATATATATAACAGGACTTATCGTAGAACTCTAAGAGTCTCTAGTCTTATAATCCGCAAGGGATTAGATAAAGCTTCGGGATGGGTAATATCTGGATACCTTAGTACTTGATTAGTTAACCTTCCTAAGATATCCACATATAAAGCAGCCTGGCATGGCCGGACTACTTAAGAACGCCGAGATAGTCCATGGCCTGCTTATAGCAGTATGAATACTTGTTTTTGAAAGTAGTGCTAATGCTTCTTGACCCATTGTGTCTGGATCTCAAATGCATCCCTCTCCTTCCCCACCATAGCTTTCAGGCCAATATCTCGTAGCTCTGTAAACAGCGAAACGGCATCCCCATATAAATGGTGCGGGGTCCAGCCATCTCTCGATACGACGTCTGCGACGGAATTCCAGAAGTCTTGCACATCATTCCACCCAGCACTTTCTTCTGCATGGACCCGAAAATCATCCTCGGTGAAATGGATCGGACATGGAAAGTCAAACCCTAATTCATTCCAGCATCTGGAAGCATGATGATTTTAGCGGAAGGAAAAAAAAATCCAAAAAAAGAAGAGAAGAAACGCATAATAAAACAGGGGACGGTTATGCGAAGAACATGCCGTTCATTACCTCTCAAACCTAATCAGCGATTCCCGCAAGGGGAGAAGGTCGTCCTCCCACGTATCGCCCACGAACAGAACCGGATTGCACCTTGTCCGACCGTGATCAAATCGAAGGACTTTATCAAGTAGGGGTAGCTCTCTGGCAATCTGTTTCTCGTAGAGATAAAGCAGGATTGAGCGACTCATAAGGCCTCTGATCCGAGCCTTTTCCGCCAGATCCAGCTGCTTGAAGGTTGTGGGGGCTTTCAGGATAACTTCACCATTGTAATCGACTAGCCTTGGGTGACGTGCTTGAATGATCAAGGGTGCTGCCCAGAGCCCTTGCCAGTCTATTACACTCGAGATCTTACCATTACAAATAAAGATGTTGCCCGCGTGCAGATCGGTATGCCAGATGTAGGGTGCAACCACGACAGGATCATCCGGGAGCAGATAAGGGGCAACCTGACGATATTTCTGCAGTAGAGATATGTGACTGCTAGGAGAGTTCTGCGTTGCTGAGGTTACTAGCGGGTCGTCTTCGGCTCTTGGAGTTGCGTATTGTTGGATCCATGGCTCTTCTCGGTAAGCTAGGGAAAGCACATAGTCCTGTGGTTGTTTCCCTTTTTTCAACCACAAAGTATTAGTTAGGACGGGAAAGAAGAACAATAACAAGGTAACAAACATGGTCCTCGGTCCAAGGTCATCTCTGCACGTTCTTTGGACCAATAGTGTCTTTCTGCGAGCGGGCCAATAACAAAACGACGGCGTATTGTGTCTTTGAGCCCAGCGGATAATTCTGCACGGGCTTCGGCTGGCACAGCACCTCTGATGTTGACATCTGTATAGTACAAACTCCCATAGCTTAGAAGTTATTATCAGCAGGATGATAATAAATCAGACCTGACTAGAAGATTGGGGAAGCCTTACCAATTCAGTGGCACTTGAAGCATTTTCCTCTCCAGTTGGACGAGGTCCTTCATGACTGCGATCTTCTCTTCGAGAGAATAATCATCCCATAGATCTTCCAGCTTCGTACCGGGGGCTTCTTCCATTATGATATACTCAGACCCGACAGGGTTACACACGTCTGCATTCCAAGCATACACGTGAGGTGTTGGGACTCCGAGGACTGTGCGGGCCTGCATTTCCGTCTCATTTAGGAATGTATTGTTATCAGACTGGGGGAACTCATGGTTCAGTCACGTACAAACTCCATCGTGGCGACTTCAGATGCTGTGGTGTAGTACCTCGGCCCCGCAATCGGATGGGGGATTCTTGCAATCACGGCCGAGCCATCCCCCATCTCCAGCCTGAAGGTCTTATTGAACGAGCCTTCGGCCAGCTTCGTGATTGCCGTACATATCTCCGCTCCAACACTCTGCGCGGCGACTCGTTGTAGTTCCCGCACGTTGAACGGCGCAAATCGGTCGCGCAGCTGCTGCTCCTCGTCCCACAGCCAGCGGCCGCTGGTGTATCGGAAGAGATCTGTTGTGTCGGGCCGGGGTGGTATGCTTGCAGAGGTTATCGATTGCGAGACGCGGTGAGACTTTGCAAAGAGACGGGGGCAAGGGGGGGTGGGTATTCTCGAAGCTGAGCGTGTTGCATAGGGATGAGCACTTCTTCTTGGGTAAACAGTGGCGGGATTGAAGTGTTTTCGCGCAGGTGCAGTAGTACGCTTGGCTGACAACTTCATTGTTGGCTTGAATGGTAATGTCAATCAAGTAGTATGTGAGAAGGTCGCCACTGCCGCCTTTAAGTATAGGTAGTCACGGAGGTTGTTTTTACGAGTTCCTTCATTGCGGGACCTCTGTTATTACTGGTTCACACCGGGCAAGCCCCACACAGTCCCCACTTATTTTTAACTCCATGACAGTGCGAGCCCCACAAAACCTGAAGCTTTAACAGCTATAGAATAGTGGATCATAATAACAGATCTATGTTCAGTACGCATTTGGAATCAGGTTTCAGACTATCTCATCCTTGGGCACAATAATGTAAGCCGAATCAGATCTCCTTCACATCCTGCTACCTAGAGGATGCGGACTGAAAAGAGTGACGAGATTCGAGTGGTACCTGGTGATAATATCACGTAACATGGCCTTCCACGGCAAGCCGCTCATAGGGGTTCTTCCTCGCACCTCAGTGGTGTGTTGAAGTCGTCCGTCTACTCCTTCTACTTCAAGCCAAAGGTGGAAACAGTCGTGGCGTGTCCGTTTCTCTTCCATAACAAGATACCTGCAAGCCGACCTATACAGTTCTGATAGCCTGTGCTCGGGTGTCACTCCGATATTCCAGTCGGCTTCGGGCAGTAAGTTCTTGCGGATTGGGGTAGTTTCTTTTCTGGTAGTCGAGCGAAATGGCGTTTCAACTCTCAGCGATCAGGAAAAGGAAATCGTGGGAATTAGCGCATGAGTTCCGCCAAAATTGTATGTCGGGCGCGTATTCTTCAGCTTCGCTCCCGTCTACTCTTTTTTTTTTCCGTCTTCCTTCATCTTCTGCCTGCGTCTGTCTTCTCCTCTGCGACAGGAGAAAAGGTCTCGACCGGTGCTCAGGAAAATACTCTTGAAAGTCATGTCTCCAAGACCCGCAATGACTCGAACCCCGGCTATTCCGCAGTCTCGCGAGTTCCAGACGCTTTTTTGTTTTCGGAGTTCCCGTGGCTGAGTAGCCCTTAGGTACTTTCACGTCGAGGAAAGTCAAGATGGATGACTGACATTCGTGGATGGGAGAGAACCGTTGGCAGAACGCGATCATGCGCACAAGCTGCTGAGCTTTCTGTTTTGGGGCCTTTTCCCCATTGGCGAGGTGATACTGCGAGTTGATCTGTAGGCCAAGTACTTCAGGGAGAAGGTCAAGTGTGCTGAGTATATTACATCATGTTAGGAGCATAAGTCGCCATGAGTACAGACTAGGTACCCTCATAGCTACTCGAACGTATTCAGTCTCGGTAGATGATAGGCCCGCCATCCTCAACCCTGACATGGTTACTTGTATTTGTGAAGACTCGATCGCTCCTTGCTCCAGAACAATCTTCCACTCCTGTTCGCGCCCTTTCACCAGCTCATGTGTCGGATATTCACCAAATCTTCCGTGGAACACAGTCGTCCTCCCCATCGTCGTCCATTCCTTGGCGTCTTTTCGTTTCATAGCTGGTGGCATCGTTCACATGGTCGAAAAGTTTCGATGGACTGGATGCCACTAGCTGGTCCCTGAGGCGGCCGGCAAAGGTGTCATATGGCTTGTAAGGAATCATCTTCCGATGGGTCATAGGCCACGTTATGAGCATTACGGCAGACTTCAGGTTTCCGAGCGCGTCAGCATCGGCAGTACCCTGGGAATCCTTCGGCGCGGACTCGGAGTAAGCGGACGTCTCAAGATCGTCGAATTGGCATTCCAGCGATTCAAGATGCTTCCAAGTCCATAGTAGAGGGTGATCTAGGAGGTCACGCCGACCGCGGACAAAGTCCAGGAGCGGCTTTGGCGTACAAGCCTGTGTCACCATCAGGATGGCACCATCAGGGGTGGCATTATTGCTGTTGGTTGATGACTGGAAGATGAAGGCGAATGATGCTTAATGGAGTACTCTGCCGTGATGGAAAACGAAAGAAAGAATAGTACTACTCCGTAGTAGGTACTAGGTAAGGTACCTTAAGGTACTGGCTGGAGCGAAGCTTCGCCTGCTTTGATTACCGCGGCTGCAGCCGGCAGTTTCTCATCGCCTAGGCAGCCGTGCCTGACTACCGCCACTACCGCCCCACGGGTCCCACCGCTCGGGTCATCAAGCATCTGGATCTACAGTACTCAACACCAGCATTGTCATCTCTCATTTCGCGCAGCGACAAAGCATTCCCTTAATTGATCCAATTCGTACGCCTTGGCTTCTCGACGCCGATGACTGGCAAGATCAAGGCATTACGTACATTTTGTGAGCAATGCGCCGATCTCCATCCGCGCGTCCCTGGGGCTACGTTCAGAGTATGATACCAAGCCCGAAAAAAACACTGCCACTCAATCTTCTAAGCTTCACCTTTGTCCTACAGTCACTGTCCCGTGAGCATGAACACGGGAGCTTCTCGGATAGGTATGCACGCCGGTTAGAGCGCGACTCAGCATATTACTCATTCGTATCAGATTGGAATTCTCACAATGATTTCTTCAAATTCACTCGTGGCCGCTTCATTGTTGATGAGGCAGAGAATGCTCGAAAGCGAGAGATCAGATTCGACATGAATAGCCTCGCAAGAGTCGCAGCACAGTCGGTTGGAGCCGCGCGATGCATTGCCATCGAAAAGTACCCTGACGGCATGTTCAACAAAGCCTTCCTCATGACTATGGACAATGGTCAAGAAGTTATAGCCAAGATTCCCAACCCGAATGCTGGCATTCCACACTCCACTACTGCTAGTGAAGTCGCCACGATGGACTTTGTAAGTTCATCCTGAACACCAACAACATCCAAGTCTTGCTAACTCGTTTGATCCGGGGAGGCTAGAATATTTCTTGAGACCCCAGCGCCTCGTGTCTACGCACGGAACTCGCAAGCCAAATCGCACCCCGTGGGCGCTGAGTTTATCATTATGGAAAAAATAGAAGGTGTTCCGCTCTCCCAAGTCTGGAGCACTATGAAATTACCACAGAAGCTTCAAGTGCTTCTTGCCATGACACGTATCCAGAAGCAATGGCTGAACGTCTCATTCTCGCATTACGGCAGCTTGTATTACACGGAAGACTTGCAGCCACCAGCAGGCAACCACTTCGTCAAGGATGGCAAGGCTGTGAGAAATTCGGGCTTTGCCATTGGTCCGGCTACAGGCCGGGACTGGTGTGACGCAGGCCGCTCAGATCTACTCCGGTTGACCCTGGTGGTTTTGTTAGTACGGTAAGGAGGTGCAGGGATTCGAATTCTTTGAATTCTGCCGTATATATAATTATTAATACTTTGTATAGCCACCTGCGGTGTTGATTACTGCCTCGCATTTTACCGTTATACTGTTAACTAATTTGTCTAAAAATACTTCTGGTAAGATATTTTAAAAAGCCTGTACAACCTTATATAGCCGATTATATAATAGCTGTTTATTATTAGAAAGAAGAATTGTTCTATTTAATTTTTTATCCAGTTCTATATAGCCTTAATTGGGTTAAGATCCGGCAAAAAAGCAGACTAAGTAATTGGAAAGATTCTACGCTCTTAAAGTTTTTGAATAGTATTCTTACTTGCATGGCCGGGTGTATTATCTTATATTAATTAAAGCTGTTGTTATTCTTGCTGCTTAATTAAATATATATATTTATAGATTATTAGAATAATCCGCTCGGAATAACGCTCGGCGTTAATACTATTCTATTTTTTCTTTTAAAAAAGATAGGGCTTTTTGGAATTGCTGTAGAATAAAGTCTAAAACATCTAGTTATATTTATACAATAGATTTGTATAAAGATAGGTTTTATTAAGTTTTTTACCGGCTTTGCGAGTTATATATATCTGTTTATAAAAGTCTGAAGTTACCCAGAATTTATCAGTCTAAAGAATTTGATTTTATTAATTATAAGTTTAAAATAAGTATTTAAGTGTCCAAGCTAATCTTGCCTGTTTATTAGCCGGTAAAAAAAATAGTTTTTAAAAAGCTTTATAGTGTGAATAATTTTTTTTTAAAATATATACTAAAGCAGTAGTTCTAATAGATAGTTTAAGTTCTTAAATAATACGATAGTATAGCAAACAGTATATATACTTAAAACTTAATATTTATTATATAATATAATTAATATTATCGTCTAAAAACTTTGGTAGTTAGTTTTTGGTCTTTCGAAGTATAGCTTGTTGGTTTTGATATATATATTATACTTAATAATAATTAAATCCAAGCTGATTTATAATTTGTTAATATATTAAGCTAGTATTACAAAGAGTAAAAACTCGGAGTCGATTATTTTAGTTAAGATATTTAGACTTTGGTATTTTAGAAGAGGTAGGCTCGGGCGTAAAAGATATTTTTGTAATAATAAGAATTAGTATATATTAATAATAAATAATGTGTTTACAGTTTTATAAATTTAACACGTGGCTTGATAAGAAAGGCGGTGCTTAATAGTAGATATATTGCTTAAAGGATTCGAATCCCTGCACCTCCCCACCGTACTAACAAAATCACTAGGGTCAACCATAGTAGATGTCGACAAGGGGCCATGTACGTTGTGGTTTACGTCACTCGCTGTATAGTCGCTGATCAGTTTACAGGGGCTTCTCTAACGCAGTATCTGCAAGCAGTCGGGACACGAGAGGTGAAGGCAATCCAGTCTCTAGAACCTCCAAAAACGGTTGCTTTATTCTGCGGCCCAAAGCTATACCGACCAGACACGGAAAGTAAACTTACTGCTTTAGCATGGTACCAACAAATCGTTGATGCTCTAATTCCCAAAGATGCAGCCATCACACGACCCTGCCTCTGGCATAACGATTTGCATGACGACAACGTCTTCGTAGACCCGCAGAATCCCGGAGAGATTACGGGTATCATCGACTGGCAGTCTTGTCACATCTCGCCCCTCTTCAACCACAATCCCGACCCAGCCTTCCTCGACTGGGATGGCCTTGAGCCTGAAACGCTGGATTTGGCACCACGGCCAGACCTCTCCGGGCTTTCGCCTGAGGAACGGTCAGCTGCTGTCCAGGAGTATTCCATCCAGAACGTGTTCATCGCATGGCGGAAGCTCATGCATGCCAAAAACCCCGACTTATACCGGGTGGTCGAATTCCGGAGGACAGCAGCATACGGGCTGATATTTCTGGCCCACCGAATGTTCGAATACGGCGAGGCGCACTTCCAGTCGCTTCTGGTGGATCTGAAAGATACGTGGACGGACCTACCTGCTGTCACCGGCGATACCCCATTCCCGTTCGACTTTTCGGAAGCAGAGATCGAGCGGATCAAATTGGATAGCGATGGTGCAGTGGCAGGCACCGAGCTTGTGACAGAAGTCAAGGAGAAGATGGGCGATCTGTGGCCGGACAAGGGCTTCATCGAGCACGAGAGATACAATGATTGCAAAGCTGCCCTCGACGAAGTCAAAGGCTTGATCTTGGAGCAGTTAGCTGAGACTGACGAGGAGAAGGCTGAGTACGAGCGCTATTGGCCATTTGGATAATTTGTCTATTGATTTGAGGAGACGGTATGGTTGTGCGGAAAGCCTTCTTATTCATATTTGGGTGATTGGGGGTGGGAAACGCGGCTTTAAAAAACCAACAGAATGTTTGAAGCTGCTATTTCTTTCCATCGGTCTTTCGCTTTCGAACCCATGATGAGCGGATACGGTTAACTATGGTTGCACAGCTGGGAGTATTTCTTTGATCAGTCCTTATGAACTGGGGATCCAGGTATATACGAGTAGAGCGGTTGAGGCAAAGTTTGGTTGACCGGGCGTGTTGCTACTGTTGTTAGTTACTGCTTCTACAGCCAAGCCGGAACCTTAGGATCAATCACCGCGCCACCCACAACCCCAGGAATTGGTTTTCCTTTTTGTCTAGTTCGGTGTAGAGTTGGATTTTAGATGCGGCATGGATTTTTATTTTTATTTTTATTTCTTTTTTTTTTTTTGAATTGAACTTTTCCTTACCTCTCTAATGTTGTTTGTGCAAGTAATTCGGCAGGCAACACCTCAACGAAGTAGCTAATTTGGTTGTTTCAGTGTGCACTAGTATCGTTAGTGTACACTGTACAGTAGAGAAGTTACCCGCGCTGACAGATGTTATTAACCGGGTGGCTATGATTTGACTTCTGGTACTGAGGTAGCATGGCCAAGCTGCCGATCGCCATGCAGGGGAACCCAAAAGCTCCGTGTGGCCGAGACTGGGAAGGTTGCGATAACCGATACAGCCCGAGACTGGTCCGGTCGCTGGACCAAGTTCGGGACAGTCGGAGATCCGTCGGGATTTACTGGTGCGTTGGATTTCAGGCATGGAACATTCTATTGACATTGGCATTGATAGGTTCTTTGAGGATCTGTGCTGTGCTTAATTCTATTTACTCGATTGGAGTGTCTTCTATGCGCTATTGTTCCAGTTTTATAGTCCTGAAAAGCAGGCTCAAGATGCAAGCCAAAGTGAAGGGCTGGAAGACGGCGGGCCGAGAAATTGCCGGGATGACGTCAACCACCGGTCATCAGTAAATTATGTCCCTCGTAACTTCTGCGACAAGACCTCAACGCCCCGAATTACATCCGGCCACCTTGCAGCTTTTTCATCTCGCTTGCCCTTTTATCCCTGCAGCTGACTATCCATAGTAGAATTGTCTTCATAGTAATAAAGAAAGAAAAAATCCCGCCAATTGTGCCAAATGGGGAGCTTCCTGACGCTGGGCTGGAACTGGAGCTGGAGCTGGAGCTGATAACGTTAACCGCCGCGCGCGGCGATAAGTTCCACAGCAGCTGAAGCGGAGTAATGATCACCCACGGTGGACTGCACTGGATTGGACTGGGGGATGTTCATCATTTGCGGGGTGAGAAGGACTTTAGTTACAGATAGTACGTATGTGTATGTTAGTAGTCAGGATGGTACAGTTCAGTTAGCAGGTAGTCTAAGAATATGGAGCCAGTGTCTGACTCCGTATCCCCGAATCAACCGGGGCAGTGGAACGAGGCGGGGGTGGATTTTCCAGCGACAGCGACAGCTCGACCGTATTTCTATCCCACCGTCTCCCCTCTTTTTCTTGCGGCCTTCTCTCTCTCTTGTCAAATTTCCCTCTCTTTTTCTTTTTTCCTCTCTTTCTCTTTCCTCCTTTCCTCCCATCTCACTCACCCTCAATTGCCATCTCCTCCCTTTCCTTCTTCTTTCCCTCCTCTCCTCTCCTCCCTCCTCTCTCCTCTCCCCTCCTCTTCCTTGAATCAATCCCACAATGTCAGCCTCCGCCCTCCTAAAAAGCCGTGTCCGGCGACCCTCTTACCTCAAGAAGCTGGCCAAGGCCGAGGACTTGATTGACCTCTTTCCCCATGGATCGTACATCGGCTGGTCCGGATTCACGGGTGTTGGATATCCCAAGTGCGTTGCCCAGTCCCTTGTCTTGGACTCCTTGATCTGCGCAATTTGGTCTTGCTTCAAACCCGAGTCCTAGGCTAATTGGCCCCCAGAAAGGTTCCCACGGCTCTGGCCGACCACGTCGAGAAGAACAACCTCCAGGGCAAGTTGAAATACAGCCTGTTCGTGGGCGCCTCGTCCGGCGCCGAGACGGAGAACCGGTGGGCGCGGTTGAACATGATCGAGCGACGGAGTCCCCATCAGGTCGGCAAGGAGATCGCAAGGGGTATCAATACTGGGGATATTAAGTTCTTCGATAAGCATCTGAGCATGTTTCCTTCGGATCTGGTTTATGTAGGTTGTCCTTTCTCGTTTTGGTTGAAGTTGAGGTGGCTGTGGGCTCTGGGGTTACCATGGGATGGAAGTGGTTGTCTAAGGCTGAACTCGTACTAATCCTCGAGGCGTAGGGCTGGTACACACTCAACAAGCCCAAGAACCGGCTCGACGTGGCCGTCATCGAGGCCTCGGCAATCACGGAGGACGGCGGCATCATCCCCGGTGCCTCGGTGGGCGCCTCCCCCGAGTTCGTCCAGATGGCCGACAAGATCATCATCGAGGTCAACACGGCCAGCCCCTCGTTCGAGGGTCTGCACGACATCGTCATGTCGGACAAGCCCCCGCTCCGCAAGCCCTACCTGATCATGCAGCCCGAGGACCGCATCGGCACCCCGCACATCCCCGTCGACCCGGAGAAGGTCGTCGCCATCGTCGAGTCCGACTACCCGGACCAGACGCAGCCCAACGCCCCGGAGGACGCCGGCTCGCAGGCCATCGCCAGCAACCTGATTGAGTTCCTCAAGCACGAGGTCAAGCACGGCCGCCTGCCCCAGAACCTGCTCCCGATCCAGTCGGGTATCGGCAACATCGCCAACGCGGTCATCGGCGGCCTCAGCAAGGGCGGCGCGGACTTCACCAACCTGAAGGTGTGGACCGAGGTGCTCCAGGACTCGTTCCTGGACTTGTTCGACAGCGGCAACCTCGACTTCGCCACCGCGACTTCCATCCGCTTCTCGCCCGACGGCTTCAAGCGCTTCTACGACAACTGGGAGCGGTACGCGGGCAAGCTCCTCCTCCGCCCGCAGCAGGTCTCCAACTCGCCCGAGATCATCAGACGGCTGGGCTGCATCGGCATGAACACCCCCGTCGAGGTGGACATCTACGCCCACGCCAACAGCACCTGCGTGATGGGCTCGCGCATGCTGAACGGCCTCGGCGGCTCGGCCGACTTCCTGCGCTCCAGCAAGTACAGTATCATGCACACCCCCAGTACCCGGCCCAGCAAGGTCGACCCCACCGGTGTCAGCTGCATCGTCCCCTTCTGTACCCACATCGACCAGACGGAGCATGATCTGGATGTTGTCGTCACTGAGCAGGTACGTCCTTCCCCCTCTTACGTTTTTGTTGAGTAGTACTAACAGAGGGATAAAGGGTCTCGCCGACGTCCGCGGCCTCTCCCCCCGCGAGCGCGCCCGCGTCATCATCGACAAGTGCTCCCACCCGGACTACAAGCCCATCCTCACCGATTACCTGGACCGGGCCGAGTTCGAGTGCCTCAAGAAGGGCATGGCGCACGAGCCCCACCTGCTCTTCCAGGCGTTCAAGATGCACCAGAATCTGCAGGAGAAGGGCACGATGAAGATCGATTCTTGGGAGTAAACCAATCCTTTGGCCTCGTGTCTTCTGTACTAGGTGGGAAAGAAAGTGTAGGCTTGGGATGGATGGAGTTTTTCTCTTGGAGATCATTTGGGGAATGTGGATAATACCATAATAAATCATATCCTTCTGTATTGCATCGTATCCAATTGGGTTATAGGGTGTGTTTGGGGTGGGTTCCCGGGCTTATGTACTGTACTGTGTATGTCTGTGTGTGCAGGTATGCGATTATCTTGCTAGCAGCAAAAAGAATCATGGTGTAAGATATTGCCACAGAAAAATAAATATTTCTACTAGTAGGTATAATTCATAGCTTTCGGGACCCGCCCCCCCCCCCTGCTAAACAGACCACTTCACCACCCAACATGACCCAACCCTGCTGTCAGAGTCTCCATCGGATGTTGTATTCCCGAGTAAAGAACCTTATTATAGCAGAAACCTTTTGGTCTCGGAACCCTAGGGGCCCTAAACACCCCATAAGACCCGAAAAATCCCCTGATAGTATAAGCCTTTGCCGTGTTAGAGAACAGCTAAGTAGGTACAGCAGATAGTACCAACCAGGAGAACCGAGACCCTTTTGACAAAGACGGAGGTGCTTCACATGATTTCAGTTCGGCCTTCTTTCTCTAATTAGCTCTCTCTGGGACTTCTCCAAAGAAGCTGGGAATCGCCTACAGATATAATCCCACAAGGCCTGGGTCGGGTCTTTGTACAGTACAGCTTCCAGGCTATCTTGCTGATCTTTCAAGCTGTGTTCGATGCTTGGAGCTTGATCCTAAACGAGAAGTCTATCTTGAACGTCGAACGTATGAAGAGGAAGCGATACTTCCCTCGATGGGCGGAGGATCGAAACTTGGCATATGGTTCGGTTCGCCTGCGTCGTTTTGCCTTCCACTTCCAACAGACAAAAGGGGCAAAGCTCAAATCCAGCAGAGCAGAACCTCGGCCCCTGCTGGAATGCAGCAGCAAGCCGTCGTCGGGCATTGCGAAGATGATCGTAGGTAATAATGAATGGGTCTTTGGACACATCGGCCAGATGCCCCCGGCTGTACTGGTCGACCCGACCGACCCTGCTGTTGCTCACGCTGCAAATACCCCGGGGCGAGGCGAATCGCTCAACTTCCTCGGCCCACTCGGCTGGCTGGGGTATAGTCGCTGAATGATTGCAGGTCTCCGCGCTGGTTGAGCCTCGCCATGAGCTCCAGAAGCGGCGGATGCAGGTCGATTTTAATTTTATAGACCCTCAGTTTATGTTTCATTTTTTTTTCACCCAGAGAAAGCCGGACAATGATCACGTACGGCTTATCAGGATAAAGATCCGCCTCGGGTCGCTCGTCCACGAGCTCGCTCCATAAATGGCCCTCGCGCGCGCCCGCATAGCGGAGCGATGTCAGGGGACCCAAGTGGAATGGGAGTAGGCAACCTGCCTGTTCCGAGCGAAGTTCAGCAAGCCAAGGCGCCCGTCGTCACAGCTCTGATTATCGATCAAAACATATTTCATAGGCGTCTAGGCGAGGAAAGACAACGTCACCAGCGCGGGTCATCGCCATTGCGCTGAAATCAGGGGGTTCGAGGTAGTAGCTTGTGGGCAGGTTCTCGGAAACCAGGAGTTGCATATAGTCATGAATCACCGCAGGATCGATGATCCATGCTGGGAGCTGCGGAGCAGGGACTTCGGGGTTGTAGCTCAGCGGATGACTGATTGTATTCTGAAGGTGGATATACAGAAGAATCCAGAGCTTAGTGATACGGGAATAGTTCTCCGAGTCATCGGGCTTGTCCACCAGGCAAACAAAGCGCTTCAACGCCCATGCGCCACGAAAATCGGTGATTTCCGGCAGCGGTGCACGCTGCATGACACGACTAGGGAAATGTGAATTCGAAGTTAATCCCTCTCTCTCTCTCTCTCTCTCTCTCTCTCTATTCACTCTGTAGGTTCATGGGCTTATAACGGGGTCGGGTCTCTACATCACGAACGACCCGCCCATTTCTCCACAGAGTCCGGCGTTGATAGATTCCTATCCGCCTTCGGGTCGGATGAAGGAGCCCAGGCTTCCTGTCGCGTGAGATAGGATCAGACTCGACTTCCGGACGTGTCTTTGCCCTGTAGAGCCTGTAGAGGGTCAAATGTACCTTTTAAAAACAGGCACCAGCCTTTGATCTCTTCTGTAACATCATCCTCATCCAGCTCGTTATTTGGGTGTAGGCGGACAGCCGACGGGATACCGCCAGGCCACATGTGCGCTGGTGAAAGGAGAGTTGGCATCGTATTAACTTATTGTGGGGGGAGCCGGATGATGATGAGTGCAGAAGACGACGGGTAGATATCGATACGTATTCATTTACGGCCGAGGGATCGATCATCAGTTCGGACCACTGCCGAGCCCTGATGTGGGGTGGGCGGGGGGGGGGGGGGGGGGGGGGGGGGGGGGGGGAGTTAATCAGTGGCCGGGTTCGTTCTCCATCATGGCATGGAAACTTATGCTGCAGCACGCACGGAAGGTCGTTGACGGAGTCGGGGGGGGGGGGGCTGTGGGGCTATGGGGCACATTAGGACTCAGTAGGAGAGCCTCTGTGCTTGCATCCATCTACGTCTTGACTGTTCCTCTCCTCTACTCGACCCCAGGCTATCGTCTTAACGGAACACGGACCATAGTAATTTCTTCTCTTCTTTCTTCTGGTTGGCTTTCCCGAGGGAAAGATATGGACACAACCGAAGACGATCATTCTTTGATGATATGTATAGGACGAAACTCTATCACACTGCCAGCAGCCAGCATACACTGACCGTCAAGGGGAAGAAGTCAATCCGATATCATCATCCCCTGACTACAAGAGGAATTAAATAACCCCTCTTCTAAGTTCCTGCACAGTAAGACCATGCTGACGAGATGGATAGAACATCCGACCGGGTCAAATCTTGTACAGAAGAGATCCGGGGAAAAAAAGAAATATAAAAAGAAAGAAAACAAAAAGAAATAGGAAAAGGGAAACAATGAGAAAAGAATACAAAAAGCCCAACAAATTCCCGTAGCGAACTAGATCTCAATGGCGATGACCATGGTGGTGATGACGGTGGTTATCCAGGTGCTTTCTCTGCGCAAAGCGTTTAGTATCCAAGATCTCAGACTCAACTAATTCTTTCGAGAGTATGAACAACAATCAAACCAGAAAAGAGTCAAAAGAAGCAAAGCAAGGGAGAAATCACACTTACACTCAAAGCATTACCATTGCTGATACCACTCGCCACTGAAAACGCCGCCGGCGTGGGAACACCGGTATCAGAGCTCGTAGGCGACCCAACCACCCCGACAACGGCTGAGCTGGCAGTGACAGAAGCAGCCGTCGCCAACGGCAGGCGACGGCTATTATTATCATTACTACCGCAGACACCATACATGAAATGCTGGGACGGGAACGTGGAAAGGGCGGTCTTCTTGTAGAGCTGGCAGTCGCCGCCTCGTGCGCTGTACAACCACGCGTGGCACTCCGCCAGGCCGTCGCAGTAGCCGGCGCAGGCCGACCCGTTGTCGTACCGGGGAGCCAGCGCGAACGGCGCGCCGCTGAACACCGCCATCGTGTTCGCGGAGATCCGGTCCAGACAGCTGTTGCCTGAGACACGGCCGACTGCCTCGCTGAGGAGGACAAGGGAGAAGAATGAAGCAAGCCTCATCGTGGGACCTTTTGTGATAGGAAGAGAAAAGGCTATGGCGGCGAAGCGAAACCTGGTTGAACTTGGGGAAAGAGAGAACGAATATGAATTTTGCCCAGGGTGGGTGGGTGTTTTGGCAGCGAGATTGGTAGATATAAGAATGGCAGTCGAAGAGAGGAAGATAGGTAAGGAAGTGTCCGGGGTGGTAGAAGGATTTTCGCAATTCGCAGTCAAGACCGGGGCATCGGGTCTGCTGTATCTGTCACGGTTGACTTCTGTTCCTCATCTCACCCCTTTTGCATCCTTGCGCAAGGTTGGATTGATTATCCATTCAGACCTCGAATATGCGCACATTACCATGTAGACTAGATAGATACAAGCTGTTTTTTTTTTCCCTCGACTGTAGCACCGGGCTGAAAGTCTCATTTCGGACTACGGCGCCAGGTTCATAGCACGGACTCTCCATCATTCGGCAGTCCCTTCCGCTAGAGAATTCTCTGGGAAAAGATTAAGCCGGCTGTGGAGACAAAATACCAATATATTGGATACTGGTGTGAAAAATATTGGAAGCATGAAGCGGTTTCGTGGTTGCCTTTACTCCATTACTTAGGGCTAAGTTGTGGGTGGGGGTCTACCACCGTTGAAAAGGGACTAGCTTTTCAATAGTTCCTATGCGTCGGTCCGGTAGCGAGATAAGGAGAATTAATCTACGAAGTCGTAACCTTCGAATCGGATCTCAGGGTCTTGGATGTTTTCCAGGCCAGAGCGGAGGTTGATGGGACAAGGGATTTTAAGGGACCAGTCGATCCGGTCGGATTGCGAGGGCAACAAGATAGTACATTCTAGATACGAGATCGGAAGGGTACTCATAGTGGATTTCGCAATGGAGCCGTTAATGTCCTAAGATAAATAGTCACAGACCTAGTGTTCCCAGTAGCCAAGAACGGACAAGACCCTGTCAGAAAGGCTTGTGAAATGTGAGCACCCCCACCTGCCCCACTGCCTTCGGCGTTAGTCTTTGCGTGTTTAGTGCTTGAAAGAGCCAGAATTTTCACACTCCAAGTGCCTGAGAAGATATTCCTCCTCTCTCTACCCCTTTTATGGAGCTTGAGTGCAGTTCCGGGTACTCTGAAGCAATGTACCATGGGTTGGTGCGAAGAAATATCGGTCGATAAGTACAGATTTGAAATCAGGGTGCTAGCAAATCGAAAGTTCTGTTTCTAATTCCGGGAAAACACGACAAACTGACTCCTTCTCATTCCCCCCATGTGACCGTAATCCTACTAAACAGCTAGTAATTTTAATCGTCGTCCCAGTATTCGCCATTTTCGCTCATGGGCCATTTGTGCCTCAGCGCTCGGTCCGGAGGAAAGGACACGCTTGCTCCGCGTCCGATCACTCGTAGAGACACCCCCAGCGCCCTGAATCCCTCCTGCATCCCACGCAGTCGGACTTCCCAGGCAGGGTCCGGCTCCGGAGCCTCCTGCTTCGTTGATGATGCCGCCACCTCTCGGTTGTGATGGCGCTCCTTGGGGACAAATTGACAGAAGAGGCGTTGCAGGGCTGGCAGCCCGCCCTCCTCACGGCGAAATCGGAGTAAGTCCTCGAGCTCACTCGCCAGCGCCCACGAGGCCTGCACGAGGCAATCTTCAATGTATAGGTGCTGTAATGAGGGCGGCAAGAGGGCTCGAAGGGGTTTCGCGGGCTCCAGCGCGCGGTTGCTGTGGAAAGGCAGCAGGCTGCTCCATCGCATATGCACCGCGTGAAGATTCGCAAATCCCGAGAGATCGCCACAGAAGGTCGGCCGGGGACTCTCCGCGTCCTGCTCTACCTCGCGCGCCACGCCAGTGAAGGCCACGTGGAGATGGCGAAGGGAGGCTCGCGACCTTTGGAGCGGACGGTAGAGCTTCGAGACATCCACCCAGCCACGCCGGGTCCAGTTTCGATCCATCTCCACGGCGAACGACTCGAGGTTTGGGCACCATTCGAGAAATTGGGGGAGGTTCGAGAGGGAATCTGACGGCCCCTGCAGGTCGATGTGCGTGAGTGAGGACAGTATTGGTATCTGTTCCCGGAGCAGTTGACGGGGCAGGGAGCTGTCACAGGGGTTGCGGATGTAGAGGCTGCGGAGAGATGGGATGCGTAGGTAGGTCAGCAATCGCCTCAGGGGCACGGCGTTGGTGGCGCCTTCATCCCACCATGCCGGTCCGTCGCGGAGGGAGACGTGCGAGAGCCGCGGGAGGATCCCGAGCGCCGGGTTTCTCGCCCAGTGGATCACGCGGTCAAAGTGCGTGGTGTATCCCTGCGTCAGGGGGATGTGTTCGAATTCGAACTGCATGTGTTCCTCCGGCAGTCGAATGGCTAACCTCTCGAGATTTCGGACCTGGACTAACAGCAATGCCAGCCAGGCATCTTCGTAGTTCCAGGGCTCATGGTACATGTCTTGTCGTTCTTGATCAGGCCGGAGATCTCTGCGCCATGCGCGGTACTTGCGGCGATGCTTGCGTTTGGCATCGCCGTACGGCAGCATCAACGCGCGAAGTTTCGCCTCCGGCACGGCCGGGAGTGCAGCACGCGTCCTCCACTTCTCACAATGACTTGGGTACAGAGTCAAGGACCGGATCAAGGGCGCGAGGCGTGGATTTTCGATCATCGCCTGGCAGAATCGCCGCACGGGATTCTTGTGGCTCCCCCCCACGAGTCTGTATCCGTCGTCCCAATAAGCATTGAGAGGAAGGATTACTTGGTCATAGAGAACGGGGATGAAAAATGAATAGTAGTCTTTTGATACGAGTACCATCTGAGAAAGATCCTTGGTATTCAGGGAAGATACCACCTGGAAAACAATCTCGCCAGGGAATGGGACGAGCATCGTGTCAACAGTATTGGACTAGAAAGTTTTAACACAAGGAAAAACGCACTTAACAAGTTGCCGAATCCCCAGCAATTATGTACCAACTTAGATTCGAGGTGCTGAGTAACTTAACATGTATCATACAAAAGTTTAGTATATAAATCGAGTACTAGTCTCGGAAACAAGAAGAAAGTCCCAAATTTCAAAGGAAGCCAGCAAAAACAGGTACGAGAAGGTGGGGCTGGCGCCGTTGACACGGCTAAAACTTCTAGTTTAGTGTGAATGAAGAACTGCAAATAGGGGCAGGCAGCCGAATATTCTTCGCAGAATCAAATAAAAAATAAGAAAGACACTTCTCCTGGTACATGTGTTTTCCTGCCGTACAAAGTCCCGGGTATGTGTTATGATGATGTATTAAACCATAATCCATCCCAAAACCACAAAAGTGCTAGCCAATCTAGGCGCGACAGCTGGGAACCGCATTGAGGACATTTCGGTTCATTGTAAAAGCACGCAGTATATTCTGATGGTGCCTGTATTCCGAGCCTGGCGTGGTGCTTCCCCACTTCTTGTACCTGGTCTGGAGGGCTGTCGCCTTCGAGTTACTTCGCGAGGCTTGAACCTCGGCTGTTTTGACCCAGTCGATGACCTTGATGGTGACACTGTCTAGCTTTTCTTCGGTCTCGTAGAGGGTGACACCCGGATACCTTTCGTGAAAGGACGCTTGGGTTTTGACCAGGTTCTCTGTCCACCGCATGGCTTGTGCGAGCTCCAATCCCTTCTTTGCATTTGAGAGAAGTTCCGAGTCGACGGTGATCTGCTCACGCGCTTGTTGAACGCGATTGGTGATGGTGCCCAGCAGTTTGACATGGTTTAACCTGCCAGCATCTCTGTAGAGACTCGCTAGCTCATATGTACCCACGAATCTCATGTCGGCGAAAGTCGTATCCGCGTCTTCCACTGGAGGCAGGATTGTGTTCGCGGCATCGATATCGATGGCGGTCGTTCCTGGATCCCTGACAGCCTGCACAAATTCATAGAAAGTACACACAGTGCCGGTGGTGGGCACGCATCCCCAGGCAATCATCCTGTCTCCCTGGTCTGGAAATGCGCTCAACTCGATGCGGTAGGCATAATAGTAGAACAGGGTTTCGAAGATGCCAGCCGTGTCGGCCGCCTTGCCTTCCGTGGCACAGCAAAGAAAATAGAGAAAGACGGAAAAGAGCCTCATAGTGGTGGAAGTGGATAGGCAAGAAGTCAGAAGGACGACGAGGATAGACAGGAACATAGATAGATAGAACCGCACATCCTCAGCAGAGGCTTGCCATTCTTATTATTTTGAGCCCTCGGCTCTTGTTTGAACGATAAATCCATACTACTTCGATCGAGCCTTGTCTCCTTCACTCTCTTCCTCCCCCTTCTTCTCTCTATCTCTCTCTGTCTATGATATTAGCGCCGGAGTGCAGCCAAGTTGGGAAAATGCACATGCAGTGCTACTATAGCTTAGTATGCCTCCGTGGAGTATGAGTGGACAGTACCCACGAGTTTCATACGCGATACTACTCTTCTATACACATAGGCAAGGACCGTTACCACTAGTAAACCTGCGAGGTAGCATGTTCGGACTATCCCTGGTGGGGATGTAGTGGACGCTAGGGCTAATTTTTCGGGTTTTCGGATACTTCCCACGAGGAGAGTCATGAACTAGTAACCAGGACTGATTATTTCATAAACACTAGTGACTACGGAACTTTGAAGTATGGGTTCTAAGTCGGAGCTCTTGGTACGAGTGGTATCGACCAGAGAATGTCAATAAATCAATAAGCGATACTATCTATTTGCGCAATGCTGCGTCTAATTTCTGATATGGATCCCCCAATGTGGCCAGCCTCGGAACCAGATGCGCTATATTGGACCCCGTAGAAGTTTACTTTTTGTTTCAATAGCGCCCATGATAAGTGATACTGGTAGACAAGAATCATTTGTATTCTTGACTACTGCCCACCCTAGTGTGTGTGGGGGAGACAGAGGGGGGGCGGGCGGCTCTTGGAAAAAATAAAAGCAGCGCAGTCACTGCTCTCAGTCTTCGGCCATTCATATTTGTCAGTGTAGCATTCATTCATTCAATTAATTTCCGTCTTGTCTTTGGCGGTCTTTGACGCCTTTC